AGGCTGCATCTTCCCGCTTTTAAAAGAGGCTGCCTAGAGCAACGCGCGCTTCGGCCCGCAGCGGCTGCACGCCAACTGCACAGCCGTGCAGGAGAGCCCCCTTTTAACGACCGGCTTGCGACATCCACGTCACTCCTTGCCCCGGGGCGTCCCCCCGCCGCCGCCCCGCGTTTTCCCTCGCCAGCGGGCGCGCGCGTTCTGGCCGAGGCCGAAACGGGAAAGGTGGATCCCTCGCAGGCAAAAAGCGGGACCCCGCGCAACCGACCCGCACGGGGGCCAAGCGCGTCCCATCTCTGGGCCAGCGGCAGCCCGCGCGGTCTTTGTGCCCCGGCGCGCCTCGGGAGCCGCGGTTAGCGAAGAATATTCGCTCATGATGACCGCTCGCAGTTATATCTGTCTTTGGCACGGGGCATCTTTCTCCTCGCCGTGGGAACGGTTCCGGTTCACTCGGCACCCGGGAGCTATTTTCTGGCGACCTAAAAACCAAGCTCAGCGCCCTGGCCCCTTGAGATGGGTTGTCCACAAGCCCTACGACCCCGTCTCTGGTTAGAGCGGGGTAACCCAAGCTGTCCGGGGATGATGGTGACTGTAGTCAGCCCATCTGATGAATAGTAGGATATGGCCCAGAGAATCTGTTTGCCGCTGTTGACGGCAACACCATCTGCCCCCGTGTCCCAACTTTGTGCATCTACGGACAGAGTTAGCTGGGTAGTAGTCTGTCCTACAGACACAAATGGGTTTCCTAGGGTCATAAAAATACTTTTATTTTAAAGGAAATAGCTATTTGTCTCACAGTGTTCATACAAGAGCTGTATTGCTCAGGGGCTGCAACTTCATCCGTTGTCAATCAGGTTTTTTAATCGCTCAGGGGCTTGCTAATTCTGGTTAATTATGGCACTTGTTCTGCTCTGAAGAAAGCCCCCTTGAGTCCAAGGGCACTCCAAGTAAATGAAGGATCGCACCCTTGATAATATTATTTATTCACACCCTTCCAGCATTTTAACAACAGTTCCTTTAAATAACCACCAAACTAAAGATAAAAATAGACCAAAGATAAATATCACAACATAAAACAGCCCAACCCACCTCACAGGTTTGATCTTGTGGGGAAAATAGGAGGCAAGAGTATTAGGTATATTTTCCACCTTGAGTTGACCAAAATGTATATCAAAGGAGGGATAAAAATCTAATAAGAATGAATCAATAACAACATAAAACAGTATAAAACTATAAATACTATCAACCCACCACATACTCAAAACCACTCAATAGTCAAGAAGCACCCAAAGGACACAATGTCAGTGTTGAAAACCTGATCGACAGATTACAGCTGAGCCGTCACAGAGGAAAGGCTTTGAAAGGCTTTGAAACTTCTCTTCCAATGTGCCAGAGAAGAAGCAGACTGGACTGGGAGTGGGAGGGAGTCCCGTAGCACCAGCACCACCGCCAGAAAGACATTAGTCGATTCCAGGTGAGCATCTTTTCTGAGTAGCATGTGCAAAAGTCAGGATGCATCTACAGAATGCTGCTTCTGGGAAATTACATATAGGGGAAACGGCTCCTTTGGGGGGGGGGGGGGGCAAGCCATTTAGGGATTTATATGCGATAAGAAGCACTTTGAATATGGCTTGGCAATCAACTGGAGCCTATGCAGCTTAACCAGAATAGGTTTTCTTAGACTTATTTATTATTATTATTAGATTAGATTTTATGGGCTCCAGCTGGGAAGCATCTGACAAAAGCCCATCCACCACCTGTTGAATTCATTGCAGTTTCCTCTGTCAAGGTTATCCCCACACAGCACATTACGATAATCTAATTGGAAAGTGAGCTAGTTTGGCACAGTGGTTAAGACATCAAGCTAGAAACGGGGAGTCCATGAGTTCTAGTCCTGCCTGAGGCACAAGGCGAGCTGGGTGACTTTGAGCCAGTCACTGTCCCTCAGCCCTAGGAAGCAGGCAAGGGCAAACGGTTTCTGAAAAAAACCTTGCCAAGAAAACTGCAGGGACTAGTCCAGGCAGTAGCCAGAAGGCAAAAACTGACTCAAAGGCAACCCCCACCCCCTGGGCAAAATCAGGAAGTAATCAGGGTGCAGGCAATGATGGCCAGCCAGATTTCTCCAGAAAGGGATGTGAATGGTAAATTGTATGCAGATGAAAATAGGCACTCCTTGCCACTATGGCAACCTCTGCACTCAAGGATAGTGAATGCAGGATCAAAGAGCACCCCCAGCTGTGCACCTGCTTTTTAAGAGGAAATGGGAACCCATCTGGGGCAGGTAATGGCTCTTCCTTATGAAAAAGTCCCTCCCCCAATTGGTTTTTGTCCAGATTCAGTTTTGAGTTGTTTACACTTTCTCCAGTCTGCAATCCAGTCCCATCAGGAGCCTATTAGGGAGTTGGCCCATCTCATGAAGATGGAAAGATGAAACAGACCTGTGTGTTGACTGTTTAAAGATGGCATCCAGACCCTAATAATTGCTCCCTGTACCATGTCAACTAACACAGGGACAGAATAGAACACTGTAGCATCCCACAAGATAAAAGCTGAGAAAGAAGCAGTAATTGCTCAGTACTACTATCTGAAACCTACCCTACTGTAGAGGACCACAGTAGGACCACAACAAAGTAGGACCACAACAAAGCTATGTTCCCAACTGTCAGTTCTTGAAGGTGGTCCAGGAGGAAACCATGGTACAGTACATGGTGTCAGAAGATGTCAAGATATATTCAAGCACAAGCAGGGACAAGTTATCTCCATCATACCCTGTAACAGATCATCCATCAGAGCACTGAAACTGGTCTGAAACAGCTCTAGATAGTCAATTTCATCCAGAGGTGCTTGAAGTTGTTCTACCAACACCTGCTCAACTACTTGAATAGGAATGGCAAATTCCAAAGTAATTCTGAATTCTTTTCTTTTGAAACAATATGCAAATGCAATACTTTAAATAATAGTCCTGTAACATATTTACTTGGAAGCAACGAGTTCAGTAGATCTGATTTCCAATTAGATATGTATAGGCTTTGATCCATAAGTTGTAACATAAATTGTAAAAGTTGTAAGGTGTTTTATTTCTAGCCTGATATATATGGGTTTGTACTATAGTATATGTGTATGTATGTTTTAAATAATTAGTGTTTTACAAATGAAAAAAGGAACAGGAAAACTGCAGTTAAAAAGTTGATAAATCTCTGGAAAAGCACTGAGAGTGTAGGATTCATGATCCCCCTGCCTTTTTCACTGAATTTATAGGGGATCCAGATATCTTTTTCCATTTGTAACTTTCCTGTGTTTTCTTAACCATAAACTCTGTCTTTTCTTTTTCTTCTCATGACAAATCACTTAAGAGGCGATGCCTTTCGATAGATATCACCAGATGGATGTCTAAAAGCACTTTAAGAATACAGCTGACACCAACATAAAGAGAGTGAAATTGTTTCTTTTGTAACACTGAATATTTTAAATACAGGTAGTCCTCAGGTTATGATGGCAATTGGGACCGGGATTGCTGTCACTAAACAATGTGGTTGTAAAGTGGGATGTCATGTGACCACATAACTTAGCAATGGCAATCCTGACAGTTCCAGTTGCTGTCATAACCCAGAGACTATGTGGGTCATTAAGAGAGGACCTCATGTAACCGGAATCCTAGGCAAGCAGGCTGACAGTGAGAGCTGCAGGTGGGTATGTGAGTGCTGCCGGCAGGCCAGCGGAGGCTGAAAGTGGGCCAGCAGGGACCACAGGCAGGCAATACTGAGCATGGCCAGGCCAGTGGAAGCCACAGGGTGGTGCTACTGAGTGCAGACAGGCTGGTGGAGGCCATGGTCTGGTGCTACTGAGTGCAGGTGGGCTGGTGGGGGCTGCGGACAGGTGCTACTGAACACAGGTGGGCTGGTGGGGCTGTGGGTGGGCGCTATGGAGTGTGGGTGGACTGGGGGGGCACTAAAGAGTGCGGGCAGGTGGGGGGGTGTTATGGAGTATGAGATCCTTGGAGGCTCCTCAGGAGAAAAAGTAGTGTTAACAACGTACAGGAGTGATTTATGACCTTCCCTGCTGGCTTCCCTGCTGGCTTTGCTTGTGGGAAGCCAGCAGGATAGATCATAAATGGCAATCATGTGACCATGGCTTGCTTGACATCATCATCTCGACCCAGGCATCCGAGTGCCTAGATCACAATCACATGACCACAGGGACAGCCTGCGACAGCCACAATTTCACAGAGTGGTCATAAGTCCTCCTCGTGAGCACCATCGTAACTTTGAACAGTCACTGAATGACTGGTTGTAACCTGAGGGCTAACTGTAAGGGTTCTTCACTGCATTTTCCAGTCACTAACTGCATTATTTAATTACCAATTAATGTGCATTATTGAGCCATAATCTTTACAGCAACCCTAAAATAAATCGAGGTTGTTTATAAAGTTTATGGTAGCAAATAGGGTTTCTGGGTGAGCAACTGGTACCTTTGAGAGCTAAATAATTGAGTTCACAATTCTCAAAGGTATGATAAAAGAAGTCACATGTGGTGAATTTTTCATTGTTAGGCTAATGTTTAAAGACACAGAAAGTTTCAACCTCAATGATTCTAAAAATAAATTTTGATTATTATTGTCATATTAATATGTACTTCTAGATTTTAAAGACACTAAAGATGACTGGAGCTTAGAACAATGGATGGGTTTTATTTGGCTGTAGCAATACCATAGCAGTTTTAAGCCATCTCGTT